TGTGACTTTTCCCTTTAAAAACTGAGCTTGCAGACAGGTGGGCGCTTCCTCCAGCCTCCACTGCGTTGGATGTATTGGACGAAGTCCCTGCCTAGGCTTGTATTGCTTTTGGATATCCAGAATTAAACCTTGCTTTTGCATTCCGGCATGCTCGTCTTTGGTGGTCTCTCTGGGGGTCACGATCTGGGCACAACAGGATAAAAAGAAAGACAAAGTATGAAGTGATACTTTTATTTTGGCTCTTTAACTTTGAAGACTAATGAGATTACAGTTGCAAAGAAACCTGAGTGATGAGTTCCTTGTCTTCCTCTGGTTATTAAAGAAAGGAGAGGTTGACAGGCATTTGTATTTAAAATCAAAGAGACTCTATCAGAAACTCAGATAGTGATTATTAATAAAATAACCCAACTGATTGTAGATAACAGTCACTACAATCATTTTATGAGCTCACCAAAAATTCTTGACTAATTAACATTGCTGTCATCTCAACAGCCCACCTTTTAGTCCATCTTTTCAAAGCCTACGAAGGTACTCTATAATTTCATATTTTAAAGATAAGGTCTAACCTATTAGCCCTTGCTGCCCTGGAACTCGTTATGCAATCCAGTCAAGTCTTGAACTCAGAGAGATCTGCCTCCCTATGCCTCTTGAATGCTGGGATTAAAGGTGTGACCACCACTCCCAGCTCTAGCCTGACACTTGGATTTGTCAATGTGTCCGTGTCTTAACACACTTGGTGATTGTTTTTTGCCAAATTGCTGTCTCTCTACATTTAAAGATCATTCATCTACTTGAAGGTTAATTTTTGAGTGACACGACACACCATCATTATTTCCAAGAGTGGTAACTTTCTTGTACTAGTGGGAGAAACAGCATGCAAGGATAGTTTGGGTGCAACTGAGAGGTGAGAAGAGACCCTGGGTTCAGGTTTGGTCTGCAAAATAGAAGCAACTGTATGTGATATCCACAGGAGAAAGTGAACTTGCTGTCAGATATACCAGTTAAGATGATCACTTCATAAAGTGCCCTGGGATTCTATTTGTCATTAGTTGGCTATTACCAAAATGTTTTCTTCAGTTTTAGATTCAGAGATGACAATAATTTATATATAAAAAATCATATCTTCCAAAACATGTGGGCAAACATGCTATTTTCTTCTATTTCTTAAAAAAAAAAATCCAAAAGAGATGGCACATCCAGAAGAGAGCATTGGATCCCATGTAGCTGGAAATCCATAGTGAGGGACCAGGCTGAGCTCTGGGAATCCAGTTGAAGAGAGGGAAGAGAGAGAAGAGAGATTCTATAAGCAAGGAGCATCAAAATCATGATAGGGAAACCTACAGAGGTAACCAAACCAAGTTAGTGGTAACTCATAAACTTTGGACTGACAGCTGTGGATCCTCCATGGGACTGAACTAGGCCCTTTACATAAGTGAGACAGTTGTGTAGCTTTATTGAGCAGGCTTTTTGGAGCCCACTACCGATGATGGGACACATGGCATAGTCTTGATGCAGGGGGAAGGGCTTGGACCTACCTCTACTGAATGGACCAGGCTCTGCTGTCTCCCCATGGGAGGCCTTGCCTTGATGGAGGAGGGAATGGGGACTGGTTTGGGAGTGGAATGCTGGAGGGGCAGGAGTGGGGATCTGTGGTTGATATCTAAAATGAATAAAAATCCCTTAATAAAAATATGATAATATTTCATTGTATACATGTATGAAATACTGAAAAATAAAGAAAAACTTTAGAAATATTTAAAAAAAAAACTTGTCTCTGGACTAGGCAAGGTAGCCTTGGTCCTGCCTCAACTTAATATAGAAGTTTGTTGACTCCCCGATGAAGGCCTTACCTCCACTGGAGTGGATGGGGGTGGGATAGGGGGCAGTGTGGGGACAGAAGAAGGGAAGGGACTAGGAACTAGAGTGGGTATGTAAAATGAATATATATATATATATATATATATATATATATATATATATATATGAAAATTAAAAAAGCAAGTTCTGATTTGAACCATTTGTATCTTTTGATCATTTTGACAACCTACATTCTAGAAACAGAAAAATAGAAATGCAATGGAATAATCTGCTTGAGTCCACCACTTTGCGATTGCCCATGAGATAAGCCGTACATTTTAGTTAATTCTGGAGTTTGTACTGAACCTAGTTTTTGTGTCCCAGTAGCAACTTTCTTTGGGAAAGAAATTCCAGACGTCAGATGCCTGTAGAAAGACATTCAACATAATTCAGAGCTAATTAATCATGAGGGAACAAATGCTTGAGGGTATCTGGGCAACATAAAGGATGAAAACTTGGGTCCAGTTTACATTCAGGATGAAGCCTGGAAGGAAACCTAATCAATCTGAGTGATAGAAATGTGATATTTCATGACATGCAGATGAACTGGGAAGAGTTTGATGGAAGAAACAAGTCAAAAGTAGAGCACTTCTTGTCAAGAGTGAGTAGGGTTTCTCATTTGAAAACAATATTCTTTAAAATGGAATTTGAAATCAGAGTTCTGAGAAAAATATAAGCTCTCAGATAAGGAACTAATCTTATACCCCATATGAGAAATTTCTAGACAAAAATTATAGCAAATTCAGAGGCAATTTCATGTATTGTATAACTTAACAGTTGTTTGAGAGGAGAGAAATGATTAGACTCTTCCCAGTACAATTAAAGAATTAGTTGTCAACCTAACTCTGTTTTGAGCAACATTAGCTTTATCTGGATTAGCAGATTATTGGCCTGTGTTCTCAGCAAGAGTTCTTCTTGTGAAAATACTATTGACATACACTGAAATCAAAAGAGACATGCCAAGGAAAGTATTTCAGTCCTTCGTCAGTTGTGAGCTGCTGCTGATATGAGATAGAAACAACTAGAATAAATTATCATAGTGAAGAAAAATATTACATTAAAAGTTTGAAATTACCCACAGAAATTAAAGCTCCACATTTTAAGGATCTGGCACAATACCTTAGGGGGAAAAAAGGAAGAGCATGTTCTTTATTGAAATTTCTTTTCTAAATTGGGATTTGATTAATCTTGTAATGTAAGAAAACCATTTCAATTTTCTTTTCTCTTCATGATTCCAGCTCACATAGTTTATGAGGAAAGTTTGTAAGTATGCCCTCTTGTGGCAGGACATTTTAGTCAGTTTAGGAATAGTTTTCCTTTTTAGCTAAATGTCACATATAAGGTTGCTCTAACTCATAAAGTCATGGTATTTAATCATAGACAGTTATAGGTTGCACTCCAAGAAAGTAAGCTTATGTAAATGTGAGGACATTATAATAAAAAGTTAAACAAATAATTGCAAATATATGTCTATTTAAATAATTAAAAATGAGAACTAAGCATAGATTGTTACTTTTGACTTTCGTTTAATAAAAGGTTTCCTCTCACTGAGCTAAAGATAAAGGATAAGTGAAAGTCTTCGTAAACTTAATTTACTAAGAAAATTACGATCATCATTTCATTACTGAAAACTGGTTTGTATATAAGTTGATGGGAGCATCGACTGAACATAGGATAGAAATACGGCTGGGAGCTTGGACTGTGAAATAATCCCAACAGGGAATGTTCTCCAAAGGCACAGTGGGGGACCTTCACTCCCTGAGGTGGTGCTATTGAGTGTTATGGAGCCTTTGGAGCCAAGCCTGGTGAGAGGTCTTCAGGATGTATCACTTCTAAAGAAAGCTATTGACATTCAGAAGAAAACAGAGAGTAGGTGATGAAAGGTTCCAAGAGGATCAGATGGGTAAAGTATAAGCAAGTACACCCATGACATACAGCACACACACACACACACACACACACACACACACACACACACACACGCACAAATATATGACTGCAGTCAGTCAGTGGTTCCATATAAGAGACGAATATGCTTATCACAGAATTCTACATCAAACCAACTTTACAACCAAGCTTGTGGCTGGAACATGTGCTTCAAAAAATGAAATGACTCAGAAAGTTTACAAATTACATACTTTTTAGAGGAGAGAGATTAGTCTAGAATAAGTCATCCCTAATTTAAACAAAAAGAAAATGCAAACCCACAGGCAGTTCAAGAATTGTGGTAAGCAGAGGTCATCTACAAGATTAACTATTTGATCTCATATTGAAGATGGAGAAGAGCAGGCTCTAGCAGCGAGGTTTTAGAAACAAAGTTTTATGGGACATGAGAGTTAATGGAGAAGTCAGGAGTGAGTAAATAAATAATAACCCTTAAAAAGTTTGAGTGGCTCCAGAAAAAGTATTGATTTAAAATTCCAGCAAAGCAGAGCAAAAATTATCATAAATACAGGGGGGTTAAACAGGTTTGCTGGAATTTGCAGTAAACAATGAAGCCTTATGTACTGTTGCAGGGGAAAAAAATGTTGTAAAATGCCCCTGGCATAGCAGAATAAAACTGTATAAAGTCAAAAGAGAAGGCAGGAGATATTATCATGCAACCTTTATTTGTTTTATACTACTGTGGGGGACACAAGGAATGTGTTATTTTCTTTAAGTTACTAAGAAAAAGTTATGAGAAACAATTTTTTTCAAATATGATAGTGCTTGAATAGAGATGATGTATATGAGTTAGATATGATATATTATAGCTATAAGAAAGATATCTAAAACTGATAAACCAGAAACTGATTCATATAGAGTATATAGATATGTGTCGCACAATACAGCACCCTCTAGTTGTATGGTATCATTCAAATTTAATTAAATTGTTAAACTCTGATACTATATTTCACATGTTCAAAAAGTGATGTTTATCTGTCATACCAAAGCACACAAATATACATCTTTACTCACTCAACCACAGAATTACATATGCTAGAACACACATGAGCCCTAAGGATGTTATGAAAAACAAAATCAGCCAGTTTCAAAAGGACAAATGCTAGGAGTCCACTCACATGATGTCCCAAGTAGAAATTTGATTCTAGAAACTGGGCAAAAGAAAACCTTATTGTTATAGGGTGTAGAGCTTCAGTTTTGCAAGATGATAAAAAGTATAGCTTTTTCTAGAAACTAATAGTGATTGTACAGCAGCATGAATGCACATACTATACCACGCTGCACACTGGAAATGGCTAAGATACTATATTAATGTAGTGTGTATTTTCAAACAATTAAAAGGAAAAATACAACAGTGAGTTGATTAGCAATGATATTATGATTTTAAATTCGCCAGAAAAAGAACCAATTGCATAGAAGTGTATTCAAAAAGCATTACCCATTAAAATTATGACTACCGGCTTCTTCGTACAATGTAGGTTAACGTGAAACTTCAAATGCATGTTAGAAGTCATGTTCAATAATTCTTCATGAATCTAAGAGAACAAGCCCACTTTGGACATTATATTTCTTTAACGCAATTAGAACCTTCAGTACTTCTGCAGCCGACCTTGCCCAGGCCAAGGGCAGGATAAAATAGGTGTGGCGAATGGTCGTGACATGATGTACACGTGGGATGAGTGGAGAAGGTCACAGAAGATGAATGAAGTGAATCTGGATGTTCCTGTGCTGGTTATTGAGAGTGTTATGAGTCAAACTTCACGGGTTTGCTTCACACATAATTGTCACCTAGGTTTGTATAGCAGGACTATAAGATTTGACAAAGTAAACAGAATTTTATCTATCTTTGTTAGGGAATTGTATTTGTCTCCTCACATTATTACATTATTCATAGAATGACACTGTGATGGCATTAATTGTCAACTTGAGAGAGTCTAGAATCACCTGGGTGACAGACTTCTGGACATGCTTGTTGGAGATTTTCTTGATTACTTCAGTTGAGGAGGAAAAAAATCCAACCACTGTGGGTATAATCATTCCGTGGCTGGGTCCTTGACTGTATAAATGGAGAAAGAGAGCTTAGCAGTGGCATGGGTTCATTTGTCTTTTAAACTTATTCCTGACCGTGGATGCCATGTGATCATGTAATTCAAACTCCTTTTGCCTTCACTTCCCTGCAATGATAGAACAATTCCTTGAATCATGAGTCAGAATAAACTCACCATAAACTTAACGGGTTTACCTCTTGTCATAATGTTTTTATCAAAGAAAAAGAAACTAAAATATTGTAATTTTACATACATATTTGGAAATCTATATAATTATCTCTATTTGGATCTGAAAATGTACAATAGGCATATAATTAGTCCCATCATAAAAATCAATGCTTTGCAACCAAAACACGTTCAGGAACATCAGTTGGATTTTCTGATGATCACTATGGTACTACATATTCAACCTGAAAACAAATTGTGCTCTAAGCTATTCAAATTATATGTATGACAGAACATTCATAACTTCTCCAAAGAGAGACAATCACCATGATTGTCCTAAGTGGAACATAATGTGTCTTTTCCTTTCAGAGAAATGTGCGATGTACAATGGCTTGAATTGCTATTGCATTGATATTCAGTCAAATTACTTCCTCATCTACCATTAAGTGCTATAGATACCGTGAAATGAAGCTTGAAATGCAGGGTCAGAGACCATGTTCTCTTTCTGCATCTCATTAATTCCTGTATGATTTCATTATAAATACTAGACACAAGACAAAGCTAGAATACTGACTACATTAGAGAAAATGATGTTCACTAGAAAAAAAACTAGAAATAATAAATCAATACATTATTCATCATATTCCAGCATGCCAGCACTTTGCAATAAATAAATGAGCAACTCATACCCTATTCCTACAGTAAGTTGACAGTTCTGTAAAGGTTGCTACCAGCAGACAACATTTAAAACACCGTATCAGTTGCTTTCATGTCTCATATCAGGAATCAGCTTAGAATTTTAGATGTGTATCCTAGTAACAACAGAATTTATACTCATAAAGTCTCACCAACATGACCACACAAATGTGAGTTGGACACAGATGACATTAATTAACATGCCAAACTGAATGGGGGAAAGCCCAAGAGGCCTGAACCCTACACAGGGAACTACAAGTAATGTAGTAAAGATATGAGTGGGAAAAGTGCCTCTTCCCACAGAAGAGCACACCAGTGAGTAGTCCAGCCCTGAAAACATACATACAAACAACATCACGTGGACTCAAAAGGTTATTTTTAGGAATATATATGTATATTCACATGCATATATGCATCCAATAACAGTTGTTGAGGAAAGAGCCCATGAATTTGAAGGAAATCAGAAAGGGGTTATGGGGGCTTCTAGATGGAAGAAAGGAAAGAGAGAAATTCAGTAATTAAAATACAATCTCAAAAATAAACAACAAAAATCTCCTCTGTCAAGGATGATGGTCAGAGAAGGTGAGATTGCAAGACACTGGTATGAATTATGGTAGTATTGCAGACAATAGCTATATCAGAAATATTGACATATCTTTCACCCCAAAATGAAAAGAGGGGTATGAAAGGTGTAAAATAAAAGTGTACTGTGTACTCTTAAAATCATAAACAGATCCATATCACACCAGTGCAGTCAGGACCAATAAATGACAATAGTAGTAATAGTTATATTACAAAAATATGTATTTTTATTATATGAATAAGATTATTATACCAATAATAATTCATACCATTATCTGTTACAGTACCTCAGTATGACTGAGTACTTCTTATAGATCTGTTGTTGTCTTCACACATATGTATATTCCTATATACATCCTGTTATTAATTCATGTGATCAATAACATAGAATTTATACTGATAAATATGAGAGAAATAAATTATGCTTTACTGTTTCTGTTTCTTTAACAAAATATCTAAGGTCAGCTCCCTCAAAGTTGCATTCAGTTCATAATTTGAAAGCAAAAAAAATAACATGAACATGTTTGGTCTTATCCATTTGGTCTATGGTAAATTTTTCTTCCAACAAGTGTTTGAGGGAATGTATCATGGTGAGAGTTAGTGCAAGAGATGAGAGTCAGCACTCAGTGAAAGCGAAGGTAGAGACATTCAGAGGATAGACCTGTTCTTTGAAAGTCCCAGGAGATCTGCATTAGTCAGTTCTAAGAGCATCAATTAGTCAACTAACCTGGGCTTATAGATGCGCACAAAGACTGACCCGACAACCAGGGAGCCTCCTTGTGACTGACCTAAGCTCTCTGTATGTTACAGTTGTGTAACTTAGTCCTCTTATGGAATTCGCAACAGTGGGAGCAGGGGCTGTCCCTGACACTTTTGCTGGCTTTTAGGACCCCTTTCCTCATACTGAGTTGTCTTTGCCAGCCTTAATATGTAGGAAGATGCTTAGTTTTATTGCAACTTGATAAGACATGTTTTGTTGATACCTTGGCATGGGAGGCCTGCCCTTTTCTGAATAGAAACAGGGGTGGAGCAGATATATGTGGTGGGGGGCAGAGGGAAGGTATTGAGGAGGGACTAGGAAGAGATGAGGGGAAACTACTATCAGGATGTAAATAATAATAATAATAATAATAATTTTCAAAATAATTTTCATAATTTTCAAAAATGAAAAAGTATCAATGATCTGACAACCTCCCACAAGGCTCATTCCTTAAAATTTCTGTGACCATTTGCAAGTAAGGTCATGATAGCCATCTGCTAAATTAATATTGTGAATGGGAAGTGGGCTTTATTTCCCAGTGAGACTTCATAAATGCAGGTTTTACAAAATATAGGAGGACTTTCTGAGGGATAGGTAATAAAAAGTGTGAGGAAAGGTAGAAGGAGAAGAGAATGAGAAAATGTCATTATACAGAGTCATAAATATGGGTTATCACTTAAAATAATTATGCATTGAGCAAGTAATTGATGAACTAATGTATTTTAGAAAGTGTACTAGGAATCAAAACATCTCAGTGTCACCACATGGGGACTAAGTTCTAGGACAGAGACCTTTGAGAAAATACTCAAAATATTTAGAATAATAACAGTTCACCAAACATTAAATAACCACATAAGATGGCCTAGTAAGATGTTGAACCAGAAATCAAATTTCGGTACATCTAATTAATTAATTGAGTATATATAATTTAAGAAATGTGAATGCAAGAGAAAAACATGAATTATATGCATATGAAAATGCTTTTCTTTGCAAGACTCATCAAAAACATTTTTTGTAAACTCCTGTTAATATGCCAGTCTTTCATTCTAAATAGAGTAGATTGCATCATAAAGAATTAACAATTTATCATTGTAGTCACAGGTGGCAAATTACCAATATTAGTTCCACATAAGAATCCTCTCAGCTTCATTTCAATAAAAGCAAAAGGACCTTCACGCACCCTGCCATTAAGACTGTGATTGCCTTTATTTTTATTGTAAAATGATATGATATTGGAAGAATGTATCACAAAGAAAATACAAACACTTTATAAAATATTGGCTTTATGTTTATTGCCAATAGTAATAGGTCATAAAAGTCATGGCAGGCTATTTTGTTTTTGTTCAATTTTCTTCCTCATAAAAACAAGAAGCCAACAAAGCTCTCAAAACACCATCAGTGTGTCTGTCTTGTAAAATTTCCTTCTGCTGAGTGCTTTAGTGCCAAGGATTCCAAAAGGGAAATAGAAGTAACTCTATGAAACTGGAAATTGATCAAGCAAAACCAGAAAAAGCATAAAGCTAAAAACAATCATTTGAAGCCACTTGAAGACTTTTTAATTATGTTGGTAAGCCAAAGTATCAGGTAGCATTTTGATGGCACAAGTCTTGAGGAATGACTGGGCTTTCTCATGATGTAATGCAGCAAAGTATAGTTGGGGTATCCCTTTCAAAACCAGTAAAATAACCTTAAAATCTACCCAATACTCTGAAATGTGTAACTATATTGATAATTCTTGTTTGGTCACTATCTAGTTTTTTTTTCTTATTTTTAGACACATTTCCTGCTGTCAATGCTATGAACCCACAGTTGTTACACACCTTAAAAGGTGATGAAAGCTGGTACATTTTTAAAAAAGCAAACCTAAACTTTCTTAGAAAAAAATACTGCCTGAATTGAAAGTTTCAGTTCTCTAACCATCAATTTATATATAGAAATAAGCACAGATGTTTCTATAAATTTTAACCTGTGTTATTGAGAAGCCAATATCTTTAGAGATTCTCAGCCCAATTTGGCTTATTGAAGTAAAGAGTGCCATCAGGAAGGACCTGTATATTTTTAAAATGTTCTCAAAAGATAGCAAGATAATTCATAGCACTCACCTAAGGAAGTATTTTTCTTTCCAAAAGTTATTTTATTTTGTTTTTGGCTTTTTGAGACAGGATATCTCTACATTGACATGGCTGTCGTGGAACTTACTATGTAGACCAGGCTGTGCTGTGGGATGTCCAGTATGTTGTGAATATATGTTGCTATGATTGATTGATATATGAAACACTGATTGACCAGTAGCCATGCAGGAAGTATAGGATAAGTGAGACAAACAGAGAAGAGAGGCTGGGAGGTGGAAGCCGGGAAGAGACGCTGCCAACCACCCTGATGAGGAGCAGGATGTAAAGTACTGGTAAGCCACAAGCCACGTGTCAAGGTATAGACTAATATAAATGGGTTAATTTAAGATAGAAGAACTAGATAACCAAAAGCCTGCCACGGCCATATAGTTTGTAAGCAATATAAGTCTCTGTGTGTTTACTTGGTTGGTTCTGAGGGCCTGCAGCACTGGCGAGTGAGAGAGATTAGTCCTGACTGTGGGCCAGGCAGGACTGGAGAAAACTATGCTTGGCCACAAACTATATATATATATATATATATATATATATATATATATATATAGAGAGAGAGAGAGAGAGAGAGAGAGAGATATTAGAGTGGATGTTATTTTTTGTTCCAGAGAAAGCTAAAACTCACTTGTATAAAAGGCTATGATTTTGCAAAATTTGCATAGTTTATTCAAGAGAATAAAATTATATCTTAAAATAAAAATTTAGTCATCATTCAGAATAATGCTGAAATCTATTCATCTTCTCTACATATAAGTGACATATAAGCTGTCACTCAAAAGGAAGATAATGAAGGATAATTAAGCAAATTTCCCGGGATTACATGAAAAATTTTATAAGCTATACTTACAAATAACAAAGTCTTTTAAATATACACATACATTTATTTCAACAAGCCTGCATACATTGCTTAAATGTTCTTCTATGTCCCTACAGAGTGTCATCATTTAAGGCAGCCTTTCTCCTAGGTGATCCTATGCTGCATGCATGCCATTAAACATGCATCACTCTCTTCATTATCCATGCTGCATTTATTCTTTCACAGAGGCCATTTGTCCTTCAGTTGTCAGAGTTAGCCTACTGGATTTGCCCAGGATTTGTTTTAGCCAAAGGTTATCAACAGATACCAGATAGGTTTGATAATAACTGCCTCTTACAGGAGACTTCTTTGCATTTAACATATCTTTGATAAGAAAACACATTTATTAGTGTCTAGCTCCAGAAAGAAGACAGACATACACACTGTACGGTCAACTTAAATCAGCACAGCACAATCTAAACTTTTCTTGTTCTTGAGACGTAATCACTGATCACATTCACCTGAGATGCCTATGTCTGTTATTAAGGGTGGTTTCAAAGGACAACTGGTGATTTTCTGCATTCTTCTTTTGAAGGATTTATTTTTATTTAATGTGTATGAGGGTATGTATGTGCACTATGTTCATGACCAAGGAGTCTACAGAGATATCATATCTCTGAGACTTGAATGACAGATGGTTGTCAGCTACCATGTGGATGCCAGGAACCTGCTGTGGAATAATCCTCTTGTACACTGTAAAGATTTGTCACTTGAATTGGTTTAATAAAATGCTGATTGGCCAATAGTCAGACAGGAAGCACAGACAGGGCAAACAAACTAAGGATGATGGGAAGGAGAAGTGCAGAGTCTCCAGTCACCAGCCAGAAGCAGAAGGAGCAGGAGATGATTGTGCCATGGGGTTTAGTAAACATACCATCATGTGGCAGAGCATAAATAAGGAATATAGGTTAGCTTAATGTAAGAGGTGGTTAATAATAAGTCTGAGCTATTGGATGAACATTTGAAACTAATATAAGCCTCTGAATGGTTGTTTGCAGACTGATGAGTGGGAAAGAAATATCCATTTACAAGTACCAAACAGTCTTAGAGTACTAAATGCTCTAAACAGCTGAGTCATCTCTCCTGCCCAATATTTTGAATTCTTTTAAAAGAACTGATTATGCATATGCACAAGCATCTTTGTGGACATGAACACAGTTACCTGCAGAGGCCAGGAGAGGGTGTTGGATCACCTCGAACTGGAGTTACAGGAAGTTGTGAGTTTCCTGACATGAGTGCGGAGAAATGTAATGATTCCTCCCCCAGATCAGTATGGCTCTTTGTTGCTGAGCCAGCCATGCCATCCCCTAAACATTTTATAGTTTATATGCAATTAAATGTTTGCTTTTAAAATACACAACTGCAGTTATTTGAGGGAAATGTAATAATGTTGCATGTTGGACAATTATTTTCCCTGTGAAATATGTATAGCTTTTGTAGTAGATGTGTTTGGATTTTCTTAAAATTGCTCATGTCTGAGAGTTTAAGGTTTTCAGGAAAATGTTACATTTCAATCAATCAGAAGGTTTCCTCTTTGTAGTTGTGATTTGAAACCATTATGCACAAGTGAGGAAGAGAGTGCAAGGATAGAGCACATTTGAATCCTTTTGTCTATCTATAGAAGTTAAAGTATTGTTGCCAGGAGAAAGTCAAACTAAGGGTGAACATGTAATCAATTGTATACATAGGCAAAATATAAAGGCATTTAGGGCAATGAAATAATTCTGAGATACTGAGATCACTACATTATTATATGATGCCAAGCTTATAACATATGTAAACCCCATAAATTGCAGACTTGGGGATGTAATGTATTTGTCATATGGAATTGAAGTAACAATATGTCATCCATTGAGTTTGTTGACAGTAGCAATTGTTATTCTAATGAGGGAAGACAATAATGTGGGGATCTGTTAAACATGCTAAATTAGGGAGTAAGTGGAACCCCTTAAACTTGGAACTGTTCTGAAAAAAAAATGCAATCTCGAAATGTAATGAGTATCAAGGATACATCTGCATTAAGGTACTAACAGAACTCTAAAATTCAAAATACCTGTGCACAAAAACCAAACTACATAGTAAAAATGACTTCTGAGTAGGAATAAAATTTGAATTATTAATTAATATAACTTAGACATAGTACTGCTTGCTTCTTAAAGAGCTGATACTTTTGATCCAATGTGATAGAAAGATTTAAACTGACTTGTAAGTACTTATTAATGTCTATCTAAATGCATTTTAATATGTTATATAAAGGGATCCCAATATTGATTAATGTACATTCAGAAATAGGGAAAATCATGTCTTGGTCAGCCATTCAAAGATGATTCCTCAAAATGATGATAGGTATTGAATTAAAATTATACAAAAAAAATACCAACAAAGAATAAGGGGATAGAATTTTATTTTAACAAAAATAAAACTGTGGAAGTGAATTAAGAATTTTGTAGGCAAGAGTTGGCAAAAGGGTAGTGAAGTTGAAGCTGTCAATAAAACAAGATAATTGGTATTTTCATTAATTAGGTAACACATGGCTTGCGTTAGAATGACAGCAAGGGACTGACATGGATACCTGCTCATATTTACAAATTTTTCTTGTCAATCAGTTAAGCATGGATGACAAATGTTACGAAAAAGAGGCAATCAGTGAGATGAAGACACAACCAGAGTCATCACCAAAATAACACTGCAGAGACAGACAGATGAAGACTAAAAACATGCAGCGTTTGTTCTCTATGACATCACTTCTCGCACTTGCTCTGAAGAACAGAATCTGCACTGAGAAGAGAAGTTTTCCTTCCCCTTCTTCAGAAAGCAGCTACTAGATTTGCTACCCATTCATGTATGTTCCCCTGACCATACTGCGTTGTGTCCCTAATCTGTAACCGAGTTTTATTTACAGTATATTATATAAAATAAAGTATATTTAATGTGAGTAGATGGTCAATTGTCTACTCTCAAGGGAACTCATGATAGCTGTCTGTTAATATTTTAAAAGAGAAGTATGTTATGTTTCTCAGAGAGCTTCCATAGATGTAGGATTTACAAAACATGGCAAGACTTTCTGATGACAGTTTTTTAAAAAGTTGAAAAAGGAGAGGGACAGGAAGAGAGGAGAGTAAGAGAATACCATTACACAGAAACATAAACACAGTTCATTAATAAATACAATTATAAATTTAATACACAAGTGTTAAGCTAATATATTTTAGGATATGTACTAGGAAGTAAAACAATAAGAAAACAAGCATGGTCCAGATGAGATCTCCCGCTCTCCTAAGCTCTCTTTCCCTCGGCCCTTGCCCTTCATTACCCCGACTCATGTCCAGGTTGTTCATGTAGATCTCATCCTTTTCTCTGTCATTGGGTGATCCCTGTGTCTTTCTTGGGGTCCTGTTTTCTAGGTGGCCTCCCTGGAGTTGTGAGTAGCAGTCTAGTCATCTTTGTTTTACATCTAGTATCCTCCTATGAGTGAGTACATACCATGTTTGTCTTTCTGAGTCTGGGTTACTTCACTCAGGATGATTTTTTCTAGATCCATCCATTTGCCTGCAAACCTCATGATGTCATTGTTTTTCTCTGCAAGAACAGAGAGGGAGAATAAGGAATAAGAGACCATGATAAATGAAGGCCACATGAGAATAGGAAGAAGCAAAGTGCTAGAGAGGTCCACAGAAATCCACAAAGATATCTCCACAATAGACTACCGGCCATGGTCTAGAGAAAGCCAAAACTGACCTACTCTAGTGATAGGATGGCCATATACCCTAATTGTCGTGCTAGAAACCTCATCCAATGGCTGAGGGAACCAGATGCAGAGATCCACGGCCAGGCCCCAAGTGGAGCTCCAGGAGTCCAATTGGCAAGAAAGAGGAGGGTTTGTATGAGCGAGAATTGTTGAGACCAAGATTGGAAAAAGCACAGGGTCAAATAGCCAAACGAATGGAAACACATGAGCTATGAACCAATAACTGAGGAGCCCCCAACTGGATCAGGCCCTCTGAATAGGTGAGACAGTTGATTAGCTTGATCTGTTTGGGAGGCAGCCAGGCAGTGGGACAGGGTTCTGTCCTCAGTGCATGAGCTGGCTGTTTGGGACCTAGGGCTTATACAGGGACACTTTGCTCAGCCTGGGAGGAGGGGGCTGGACCTGCCTGGACTGAATCTACCAGGTTGAACTCAACCCCCAGGGAAGTCTTTTCCCTGGAGGAGATGGGAATGGGGGGTGGGTTGGGGGGATGGCAGGGAGGGGGGAAGAACAAGGGAATCTGTAGCTGATATGTAAAATTAAATTAAATTATAAAGTAAAATGTAATAAAAAAGAAAACAAGAATGAAAATGGTATTTTCTTAGGACTTTTCATTACATAAAATAAAATAAACAATAGAGGAGAAAAGGTTGTCACTCTCAAACATGATGTGTCTTAAAGAGACGAGTAGTTCTAGAGGAGAAGATAGAGTTATTGGAAAATACAATTTAAACAGGGTTGTCAGTGAGAAGTAATTCAACACTGGCATTAAGTCCATCAAGACATAGGGAAAAAAGCCTTTTTTTTATATAAAAGGGAAATGGAAGCTAAAGAAACCAGTCACTGGAAAAATCCCTAAAACGCAAATATACTCAACATTTTCTTCTTTCTTTTCAACTCTTGAAAACTTTACATGTGTATTGTGATGATATTCATCACATTACCCTGTATTGGCAATCTCTTTCTTTTCCTTCTGAATCCCTCCATCTGAAATAATCCCCCTGTGGCTACACTATTAAAGAAAATGGCACTCAATTCCCACAGCAACCACAATATCACTTCGGGAAAGGGTGGGACCTTGTGAGCACTTCCTCGATCCATGATGGAATGTTGAATTGACTATTACACAGCTATCCATTACTGCTGTATGTGTATCATTACAATGGCCCTGCCATATCTGAATGGCATTGTCTTGTTGCCCTCTTTCCTATCCTCCTGCTCTTACATTCTTCCTGTGCTGCTTCTTCCACAATGTTCCCTCAGCTTCTGGATGAGCATAAAATCACCCCTTATTCTCAGCACGTTGACCAGATGTGAGTCATAAGGAATCATTGTGCTTTCTGCAAAAGGGAACATCTCTGCCCCAGGCTTGAGTAGTGCTAGTTTATTGGTATATACCTAAATATTTAGAAGTTTGAAGTATCTAGTTAGAGAAACAAAGTCAGGTTGTGTGTTACCCGCAGGAGTTCATAATTTCCTCATCCATTGGATTTGATCAGGTTTATACTACAAGATTTGCACTCTGTCCTGTGTATTGACCCTCTAGTCCAATCACAAAGCAGTTGGTTACCCTTAATATAGTCATGGTACTATTTCACAATGGGCATATTTTGAATGCCAGGTCAATACTCAGTCTTTCAAGGAGCATCAGTTTAGTAAAAGTGGCCAGAATAAAATAAGAACCAAATAAGACATGACAGTAAAGCGAATAAAGGAATGGGAATAGTGATCTGTCATCCTTTAGGAGTTTGGGGAAACGTTATAATTTCTTTCCAAAAAATTGATGTGTGACTGATTCTGCATTACTAGCCTAGGAAACAAGAATGAAGATGTGAGGATTGTGGATTATGCTGTTCAGATACATATTGCTTATGGTCACAAAAGTCATTTAGGGTTTGCCACAACAAGGTGTAATATTGTACAAAAATTAGTATATGGGTCTAAATTGGCTTTCTTTGTAATTTGAGTCACATGGCAACTTACTGCATAAAAACAGAATAGATGTTATGGTAAGGTGAACAGGATGCTTGGCTTTATAGACAGAAAAGAGCAGAAAAAGCAAAAGCTAGAAAGCATTAGAAAAATCAGCTTCTTCTCAAGGTAAGAAAAGGGTGAAAATAGAAAAACAATTGATCAACTAAAAGCTAGTTACAGTTACCTTTTATACCTTTTATATACAGTCCAAGCACAGATATCTCATTATCATATCCACCAGAACTGGCCAGTTTGGGAAAGTTGGCTGCTAGCCTATGACTTTGCAGAAACTTAAAAAACTTTTTTTTTTTTTATTCAGTGAAACTATTACATGGGAACTATTACCAAAAAGTCTATTTGGTGTTAGTTTCTTTGTGTCTCTTCTATTTGGAGCCTTATACAGGAACTTTGTATACAATAATTCTTGTCTTTAGAATGTATTCATTCAACAACAACACGTAAAATGAATGGAAATTGTTAAACTGCATGGTATTATCAAAACATGCAGTGAAAGCTAGAAAGAATTAAATAGCATGAGATTTAGAAGACAGTATTTTAAGAAACAGAGACAGATTTCAAATATTTCCAAAGGTTCTTTTTTACACCCCCTTCTTTCCTATCTCTTTTTCCCATCTTCCTGTTTAATAAGGAATATGATGGGGCTCAGTTAGGTTGCTTAGAATAACTCAGAAATTAAACAACCAATCTTCAGGATTATTTTAAAAAGAGGTGCAATTCAACTGTGCATTATGCTGATAAGATTATTTAAAAAGTGAATAAAAGTCAAATAACCACAGGCGTTGTCATCACAAAGATGTCTGGCAGCCATGTTGTGGTGTTAGCATGGATATAGTGTCTCTGTCATTTCTAAGAGCCATAACCTCAAAGCAACCCTCCTCATCCTCTGGCTCTGGTACTTTATCTGGCCCTTCTTTCAAGATATTAGGTACAGGAATTGTGTTGGAGATACCCAAACTGAGACTGAGCACCCCATACTCAGTTGTTCTCTATGTTTTTATCAATCATTGCTTTCTGTAATCATCTCTATCTGTTGGTGACAAAATCTTCACTGATAAGGGTTGAAAGCTATGTTGATCACACTGGACTGGAGCACAGCGTATGCTAGCTGGCTCAAATGAAATCAAAGAAAAAGAATAGAAATCAAAGATTTCTTTAAAAAATCAAAAATAAATGCTAGAAATCAAATGACTCTATCAGACAGTTTCTGATGGATTATGATTCCAGTAGCTGACTGTCTTATTTAAATTCAGTGTTAGTGTATGTACATGAAAGCATGATGATAGGTAAATGGACCCCTCTCTAATTAAAATGTCAGGAAAAAGGAAAAAATCAAGTGAAAATTCTAGAATATCCAAGAACTGAGTTTCAAAATTAAAATATACATATAAATAGGAAGACTAGAAAAGAGTACAAAGTAGAAATATTTGAACCTGTGACAGGCACAAGAATATATAACTAGGAAGCTTAGAGAACATTAGGATATGTGTTTAAATCCTCATATATATAATATATATTATATATATATAATATATTATATATATATTATATATATATAATATCATGACTGTAGCTCCCCTCCCTGCTCCCCTCCAAGTCCCTCCTCTCACCTCCCCTCTGCTTCTGTCCCCATCCATTCCTCCTCCATTTCTGTTGAGAAAGGGACAGGCCTCTCATGGCATATCACCTTGTAGGAAGACTAAGTACTTGTATTAAGGCTGGTCAAGACAACCCAGTATGAGGAATAGGGTCCCAAAAGCCAGTAAAAGAGTCAAAGACAGCTCCTGCTGCCATTGTTGGGAGTTTCACAAGAAGACCAAGCTACACAACTATCAGGTATATACAGCGGGCCTAGGTCACTTCCATATAGGCTCCCTAGTTGTCAGTTCAGTATCTGTGTGTTCAGCATCCTTAGCCATCAGTGAAATGCAAATCAAGGCAACTCTGAGATACCACCTTACACCTGTCAGAATGGCCAAGATCAGGAAAAAAAGTGACAACTCATGCTGGAGAGTATGTGGAACAAAGGGAATACTCTTCCGTTTCTGGTGGGAATGCAAACTTGTACAGCCATTTAGGGAATCACTATGGAGGTTTCTCAGAAAATTGGGAATCCATCTACCTCAAGACTCAGCTATACTACTCTTGGGCATATAACCAAAGGATGCTCAATCATACCACAAGGACACTTGCTT